AGCCATCTTGGATCTCTGTATCGGTAAATATTTTACTGAAAAATATGTCTGATATTTTGCTTCCTATGGATTCTTCTAACATTTTTATGGTTTCCTGTCTTACATTTAAGTCTTTTATCCATTTTGAGTTTATTTTTGTGTATGGTGTAAGTTGGTGGTCTAGTTTCATTTTTTTTTCATCTATCTGTCCAATTTTCCCAACGTCATTTATTGAAGAGACTATCTTGACTCAATTGTATGCTCTCACCTCCTTTGTCAAATATTAATTGAGCATTATGGCTGGGGGCAATTTCTGGGCACTCTGTTTGGTTCCAGTGGTCTATATGTCTGTTCTTGTGCCAGTACCAGGCAATTTTGAGAACAAAGGCTCTGTAATATAGGTTGATATCTGGTATTGTGATCCCTCCAACTTTGTTTTTCTTTCTCAGGAATGCTGTGGCTATTCGGGGTCTATTTTTATTCCATATAATTTTTGGAGAGTTTGTTCTAGGTCTGTGAAATATGCCGTTAACATTTTAATGGAGATTATATTGAATCTATAGATTGTTTTGGGTAGTATGGACGTTTTAATGATGTTACCTTGTGGTTGATATTAACCTCATTTCATAGATAAGGAAACTGAAATTTACAAAAGTTGATTATTTGTTCCAAGTCTTCTAATAACTGGCAGGGTTTTAATTAGAATCAAATCTAGAGGATGCTGAAGCTACTTGGCCCAAGTGTTGCCTTCCCCCAATCCATGTGATTTTCAAGAGTTCCCTTTGAAAGGGAGGCATAATCACTGAATGAAAATATTAGGAGAAGAGCAGCATGGGGTCACTCAGGTCAGAATTGCCTTGAGAGGGTGAGGTATGTGTGACCGCCTGGGGACTGCACAACAGCCAGGACCAGTAGGAAAAGGTTTGCAGTGGAGACAGGGCTTTAGGTTGGCTCCCATCCCTGTACCTCTACATGGCCAGCGTGGAGGGAGGTTGCAGGGCTGCCAAAGGATATGGAAGCTGGAAACGGCAATGCTGCGCAGGAGGGTGGTAGAAGACCAACTCTGAAAGAAGAGACCAGCATTCAAAGGTGAAAAGAAACTACTAAAGCAAAAGGTGGCCAGAGAAAAGTTCCCTAAAAGTTAGGGTGCCGGGAGAGAAGTGGTCATTCCAAACCACTCCGTTGGGATTGGGATTCGAAGGTCACTAATAGGTGTTCTCTTTGAAAACCAATCTTGCTGGAGAGAAGCCAAGAAGAGTAGATGCTCCAAGCTGTGGCCTCACAGCACCATCATCGTGGTTTGCAAATCCCTTAATAGCCAGAGTCTCCAATGCTGTGTGACCTGGGTTGCTCCTTTTAGTGCATTCTTTTCTTTGGGGGGGCCGGGGGGGGTAGTCATGGTTATTGCTGCAAATGGAAAAGTTTAGTAGACATTGTGGTGTATACACTCAGCCCTATGTCAGTGATGGGAAGTGCCCGTTCTCAGGGCAGCTTTGCCGATGTAGTTCTTCTTGGGTTTTGTAAATCATTGCTCATCTTTGTCTCATTTTTATTTCTTTCCTGGTACACAAGTCAGCATGTTGAATTCATTGTAACTAAATTGAGCATGTGGACTGGGAGGTTAGATTAGGTTAAGCAAATGTTTTAAGTACATTGTGTGAAATTAGCTAAATAAAGAGCTAAGACACTCAGCCACTTCTTCAATATTAAGCAAGTATGTGATTAATGTTGAGCAAGATATTTTTATTTAATTCCCTGAAGAAGAAGCAGGGTTTTTTCTTTTTAAAAAAATTTCAGTTACAATTGACATTCAATATTGTATTAGTTTCAGGTGCACAACATAGCAGTTACACATTTATATAACTTACAAAGTGACCCCCCCATAAGTTTTGCACATACCTGACACTATGTATAAGTATTGCAATATTATTGACTATATTCCCTAATCTGTATTTTACACCCCCATGACTGGTTTTATAATTGCCAATTTATACTTCTTAATCCCTTCACCTTTTTCAACCAACACCACAACCCCCGTCCCATCTGGCAACCAGTAGTTTTTTCTCTATACCTGTGAGTTTCTTTCTGTTTTGTTTGTTCATTTATTTTGGTTTTTTAGAGTGCACATATAAATGAAATCATATGGTATTTGTCTTTCTCTGTCTGACATTTCATGTAGCATAATACCCTCTAGTTCATTCTTTTTTATGGCCAAGTAATGTTCCATTATACATATATGTACCACCTTTTCTTTATCCATTTATTATTTTATTGGAGCATTTAATCCATTTACATTTAAAGTAATTAATAGGTTTGTCGTTATTGACATTTTATTGTTTTTTCTTGTTTTTGTAGTTCTCTGTTTCTATTCTCTTGCTATCCTTTCTTGTATGTTGATTACTTTCTTTGTTGTGTTTGGATTTATTTTATTTACTAGGGGCCCAGTGCATGAATTCGTGCACCTTGAAAGGAACTGTGGGCCGAGAGGCTGTGGTTGGCACAGAGGCAGGTCTCAGCCCATCCTCCGCACCCCAACCCAGACCCTCCTGCCATAACCCCTGGTCCCCTGTCTGCCTGCAGCCCCACTCCCTCCGCTGCTGCTCCTACGCACTAATGGCACCGGCCCCCCTCACACCCACTGATGACACAGAGTGATTGGGGCCGGTGCCAGCAGCGAGTGTAAGAGAGGTTGATGCCATCAGTGGTTGCGAGTGGTGGCTGCTGCCCTAATCGTCCCTCAGGAGCAGGGGGAGGTGGAGAATCCCTCAGGGGCAATTGGGGCCAGCAGCCACAGCTCGCGCTCACTGATGGTACCAAGCAATTGGGGCCGGCAGCAGGTGCAAGCTCCAGGCAGGACCACAGTGCACAGGAGCAAAGAATTTTCAGTAATCACCAGAGGTTTGCCCCGATGACAGCAACTGGTGCCCCACTTTGGTCTGGTGCCCCCACTTACCTGCTCCACCATCCCACCGTGGCCAATGTCTGCCATGTTCCACACACGCCCCCTGGTGGTCAGCGCACATTATAGTGACCCATTGTTCGGTTGTTCTGCTGGTTGGTCTATTTGCCTTTTATTATATAGGATTTCTTGTAGATTTTTGGTTTGTGGTTACCATGGGCTGCATATATAGGAAGCTATGTGTATAGTAGTCTATTTTAAGTTGATGATCACTTAAGTTCGAATACATTCTAAAATCACTACCATTTTTACTCACCCCCTCCCCATTTATATTTTTTATCATTATATTTTGCTTCTTTTGTGTGTTTTTGTGTATTGCTTAATTTACTGTTGGAATTATACATGATCTTTCCTCTAAGTCCTTGCCTCTAACACTTGTTATTGTCTTCCTTTTTTATTCTAGCCATCCTAACGAATGTAAAAAAGTATCTATCTCATGGTTTTTATTAGCATTTCCCTGATGACTAAAAATGTCTTTTTTCATGTGCTTATTGGCCATTTGCATGTCTTCTTTGGAGCAATGTCTATTCAAATCCTTTGCCTATTTTTTAATTGGGCAATTTGTTCTTCTGAGTTGTAAGTGTTCTTCATGTATTCTCAATACAAGTCCTTTGTCAGATATATGATTTACAGATATTTTCTCCCATTCTTTGGGTTGTTTTTCACTTTCTTGATATAAATTGGTGAATTTTCATATTTTTCGTTTTCATGTCTGCTGAGTGGCTAGATCACAAGTCAGATAGCCTTGACATGCACGTGGAGAATAAAGTAACTGCATCTAGTTTTCTGTAGATTAAAAACTCCTGCTTTGGACACAAAAGCACAGACTTTTCAAAGTCATCTAGGTGAGCCCCTCAGCCAGGGAAGGTAATTCACCTTTGATAACACAGAAGATATGCCTTGACACCTAATTAGAGTTTGAATTTAATAATGAAAAGCATTGAAACCATTCCTTATATTTGCAAACTGTTGATTAACTCAACATCATTTGGATTTCTGTTTAACCTGATCTCTTCCTATTTCTTCTTTTCTTTTTTCCCCTCCTTCTTTTTCCTCCTCTCCCCTCCCCACTCCGTCTTAATTTCAGATTGAAAATGGCTCAGGAATCAGTCAGCAAGTTGACAGCAGAGAAGAAAGTGGAGACAAAGAAAATCAATCCCACAGCCAGTCTGGTGAGATACATTTTCAACATAACATCAAGATTTTTCGTTATAACTGATGTGCGCCCAGGAGTGTGTCTGAATTTAAAGGACAAAACTCAGGGGAATGGCAGGTAGTATCCAGATTCTCAGTTTCCACCCCAGAGTAGTGTATAGATTACATATATATATGGAGAGAGTGAGGAACAAAACAGATTCATGTGTTTGCCACCAAACTCAACAAAGGTCATTTTCTAATAAACCAAACTGAGTCACTTCTCATTTCATACCCTTCCACTGCCTTCCCCCCACATGCCATGATCCCCCTCATCTCAAAGCACCTTTCTCCTAAAATGTTTAAGCATTTCACTCTCATCAGTTTCTTTCCCCAGTGAAATAAAAGGGCAGGCTTATCCTCTTTTAATCAGTAGAAAAACTGAGATGCAGAAAAGATGCAGTCTACCTGTATCACTTCACAAACAGATAACAAAAGCCAGGACCACACTTTGAGTCTCAGAAGTCCCTCCCTGTCCTAGAAAACAGCAGTCTGGTCTGGCTTCCTACCTGTGGGGTCAAGTTGTCCTCCAAGGTCATGTTTTCAGGGTAGATCACAATGAATCTCCACCTGTTTGTCACAGAGAATAGTTGGAATAGCTAAATGGTTATGAACCCAAGGTGTCAGGGTTCAAATCCCATCTCAGCCACTGACTAGTTGGAAAACCTTAGTGAAGTTCTTTTGCTTCTCCCTCTTCTATGAAAAGAGGGAAATAATATTATCTTTGCTTTAGGGTGATTTTGAGGAAGGTAGGAAGAGACAAGCAAAGTGCGTAGGACATACTAAGAGCTCAGTAAGTGTTAGTTCTTTTCCTTGTTATCATGAATTTCGGCAACTTTGGTTGGCACTGCAACAGGAAACAGCAGTGAGTGGAAAGTGGGAGTATCACTCTCCTCACTTTGATTTTCAGACCCTCATACAACTGTGCCCTGACCTCCTACAACTACTTGGTGTTATCCTTTTGTGTGACAAGTACTTTTTGCTAGCTGTTTCAACTGCTATAACAATCCAAATGGGACAATAAGTTATAAAGTGAGATGATTTCTGTTGATTTACTGTGGTGGCTCTCATAACCCCATCAGCAACTGAATGAAATGTTGAGTGAGGTTGGTGAGTGAGAAATAGAGAAGCTAAGGCCACACAGTTTGGCCTGCATAGACCACATCTGGTCACCTTCCAGTTTGACTTTTCATATTTAAAGACTCCCTATTTCTTGAGCATTCCATAATTCCATTAGTGGGCCAAGGTTAGGAATGGAAGGAGCCTTTGAGTAACACTACAAAACTAGGACTTTTGTCACAGAACAACAGCCTGGAATGGTAATGCTCAGTGTTTCAGGTGGATATACTTGGTTTATGAGCTGTTTAGTATTTTGTTGGTTTGTTGGAGAGTGAGGGTGATAGGTTGTAAGGGGCAGGTAACTGAAGGTTTCAGGAAAGAAGGCCTGAAACACTCTTATTTCTAGGGCATATGGTACAACTCTAGAATTCTAGACCAAAACTTTAGAAACTTGTCAAAATTTGATGGAAAATTAGAAAAGGAATGATAATAAACTTTTTTTTCTTAAACAACAGAAAGAAAGACTACGTCAAAAGGAAGCCAGTGTGACCACCAACTAAAAAGGAGACACTGAAGATGACAGCAAGACTGAGTACCTTGCTTATCCTTTGCAACACCAGCGCTGCAGGAAGTTCTTGAAAGACATGTCACTAAACGTTGCTTTTGCTCATGGCTTTGTGAGGTCACCTACAGTGAGAATCCGTGCCTTCCCAAAGTCCCTGGTTAAGCCACAGAACCAATGACAAGCTGTGTAAGGGAACATTGCAGGAGTATTTGATGATTGTTTCTGTAGAGGCCCAAAGTTCACTTGGTTATAAGACCAGAAGAAAGCCCCAAGATTTTCCAAACATTTTTAAAAGCAAAGGTTCCAAGCTTTCTGACCCACTCTTGATATATGTAAATTTGTGACCGAAGAAGAGAGGGCTCTTACGACAGTTGCTTTGAGAGAGTTCAAGCCTTTACACACTGCTGGTTTGACTGTTGATCTTAATTTTGATCCCATTGCATCAAGATCCTGAAGTGTCTTTCTCGCCAAAAATGTTGACATTTACCCAAACTATTTTTAAAGAGGTCCAAGACTATGTATTTCCCAGAGGAGAAAAATGGTTATCTTATTGTTGTTCATGTTATGGAAAGGAGAGGAAATGGGATTATACATGGTGGAGAAGGGGTTAAATAACCATAAACTTCATAAACCTGGAGAACAAATTATGATACAGGGAGTTCACATCAGCCATTAAGCAATTAATTGTGGTTTCCTGGACCACAGAGTGTCTCTCCATCCCAGATTCCGGAAGAAACAGTGATACCTGAGCACAGAGACACTTGGGGTCAAAGCAGTTGCTTGGACAAGTGACCCAGTAACAGAGCACATTTCACGTTTCAGAACATTCGTGAATGGGCAATGTCTTGATGATGTGCACCTGAGCTCTACGTCATGTTCTGGGACTCTGTGCAGCCAGACCTGTCCCACCAGCCCAGGAGGCAGTTTCCAGACAGGACTGCAAATGTTACTTGCCGCCTTTTATTATGACCTTGACCCTTGATGGACAGGCATGTGACAGAGGTCTTTGGTGTCTGAAAAATTAAGTTCAGAAAAGTTCTTTACTTGCAAATGCAAAGAAGGTGTTCACATTAATGGAATGCCATGTACATGCAGCTTTTTCGGACCCTGGGAGTCACTGCCCCTTGAATCACAAGAGAAAGGAATCTACCTTGTGAGTAGAGAAAAGAGGGGACGGGGTGAATTGATAATAGGATAAGAGACTATCAGCTTTGGGCCTTGAAGGGAGAGAGGTCAAAGCTTTCTCCTCCAAATGGTGGAGCAACCTTAAAACCCTTCCCAATCCAGCTGCGGTGTGTGGCCTGACCCTTGTCCCATGATCTTCCCAGAACCTCTCAACTTCCAGGTGGCTGAATGTTTACCCAGGACATGCCTGCCAGGTATCAACCCCCTCAGGGACCCATAACAGATCCAGCTTATTAAAGTGGCACCATATCCTAATATAATGCCCGTCTTGGGAATCAAGAATGTTCAGTCAAGTCTCTGAAGCCATATTCATGCAGGTGCTAACCACCTTTTCAAAAGAAAGGAATATGGTAGCATAGTTAGGTTGTTGTTGTTTTTTTCCAGTTCAAAATAAAAGATGAGACAAGCAAAATAGGAAAGCTGGTAAGAAACTTACATGACTAAAAGAAGTTGCTTGTGAGCAAGAAGCTTTTTAGACTAGATTGTTTTCTTATACTGTTTCTTCCTTTTCACTTAACTGTGAAGAAAACCTAAGGAATTCATCAATTGAAAACAAATTCTGCTTACAGCCATCCTGGGCTCTGTGGCATACCTTTTGGTATTATCGTGCAAAAAAAAAAAAAGTGCCTGTTTTGCCCATGCCTTGGGAATCAGCTTTGAGTTCAGTAAGACCAACATGTGTTTGGAAACATGTGTGTCCTTAGAGACCTGATGGGAGACAGCTGCCAGTGGCTTTCAGTGGAGTCGCCATCATCCACTTTAAGTCTTGAAGCTGGTGCTCATAGGAATATCAGTGAAGATAAGCAGGACTGTCACTTTGGCCACATAACCCAGCAGGAACATGCTCTCAGGGAACCAACGGGGAGGAATAATGAGTGAGGACATTTAATTTGAGAGTTAGACAAATGCAGCCCAAGGTGGGTTTTATCCTCAGGGATAGACTAGAAATTGGCAGTAAAATACCTCTTTCTAAAGAGCAAAGTTTGCCTGCCGATGTTGGGGAAACAGTGATTTTTCTAAGATTAGTCAAAGGTAATATGTTAGTACATTAAGACACCAGGGCAGGATCTCCATCATTTTCACCCAGTTTGAATCCTGCGGTATGTATCTGGATACCCCCTCCCCAACCCACACACATGCTGCACTGTTGACATCACCTTCATTTCTAACTTAAGTTGATCATCAGTCAAGGTTCGCAAGAGTTGTTCAAGGTAGGCCATCTAAAACAGCCTGGGGGCCTCAAAATGTTCCCTCTAAAATGCAGTTGAGATTGTGTTTAAACACAGCAGGTGTCTCTAAACTTCTCATGGAGAGGAAGTAGTTGGGGTACCACTGGAGCTTGAGCATTTCAGGCAACCAGGACTTCAGTGGCTGTTCTAAGCACAGCCCGCCCCGAACAAGAGGGAGCGTGGCCAGTACTGCTATTCTGCTTAACCAGACACTCACATCGGGCTTCCCAGTCAGACTCTGGGAAATCTTAGCTTGTGAACATCATCTTCTCTTCTAGCCAAGATTCATTACATCAGGGCACAGCTGATAGCAGTTCAGATTCTTGCATGAGTAATTGGCATCATCCCTCAAGCACACGAGTATATCATATATTAAACCAGAGCATGATGTAACTATCTTAGGTAGAAATAAAAAAAAAACCTCAGGCCAGTGAGGTGTCAAAAATAAGGTTAGAAGGAGATGTGCTCTATGGCTTTTAACCCAAGAAGAGGCAGCTTACGGGAGGAGAAAAAAGGGCAGAGTCTGGTCAAGCAGAAATTGATGATGGTAACTCCCTCACCATCACAGGTGATGGACCTGCTGCCCATCAGTTGCCTTTTGAATACTTGAATTGATGTCCATGGTGTCTCCTCAAATGCTCGCTGCAACTACATAGGAATTTTGGAGGAAGAATTTCCAAAATCTAAGAAGGAGGATAAGGAAACCTAGTGGTGCTATTACATCTGGAAATGTTGTAGCCTAAACAAATAGGCAACGTGGTTGAGGAATTGACTGTCAGATTGGATGCTGATCTCCCTTCTC